CTGTGTAGCTCTTTTCCAGGCGGACTCTTGGCTTGGGCCAGTGTGCCCCAGTCTCTTGGGTCAGGGCAGAGCCCTGGCTGGGATCTGCTTGCAGCTGCACTGCCCTGGTCTACACTGCTGCTCCCCCAACTAAGGTGGTCTGGTGTGCCTTTATTGCAGAGATTTTCTTCACTTTTCTGCTGGGCTTTAATTTTCATCAAAGGGCCTCAGAGAGGTTATTCACTTCTACTCTATCTTCTCAAGCTCAGAACAATGTCCTTTATGACCCCTGCAACTCTGCGGTGTGAATACAGATAAGGGCTCGGCACAGCCGGGGGGGAAGTCATGGCGCCCACACGGCTCACCTCCTCAGTGCGATGGGGTGATGGTATGGTGGCCTAAGAGGCTCCTGGAGGTTATTTTCTTTTAGGGCTTGAAATACCTCACTCCAGGCTCTCCTGGACTTGAGGGTTTGTGTTGAAAAGTCTGCTGTGATTCTGATGTGCTTTCCTTTGTATATGATTTGTTAATTTTCTCTAATTGCTTGTAGTATTTTGTTCTTCTGTTGGGTTTTTGGGATCTTGATTATTATATGTCTAGATGTCATTTGTTTTTTGGTTTTTTTTCATCATAGCTAGTTGTAGTCCTACATGCCTCACTTATCTGTATGTCAAATTCTTTTGCTCTGTTTGGGAAGTTTTCTGTCATTAATTCTGTGAACAGTTTTTTTATGTCATTTGTAGTTTCTCCTGCTTTTTCGTGGACTCCTATCAGTCGTATATTATTCTTCTTTGCATCATCTAGGAGCTGTTGGATCAATTTTTCATGGTCCCATACTATTTTTAAGAGATCTCTCTTTTCATGGTCACTGACTGCCATCCTGTCTTCTATATCTGATATTCTGTCTTCACTTTGGCTCATTCTGCTGAGAATACTTTCAAGTTTCTAATCTCCTGGATATCTGTTTGAATCTGTTTCATGGATTCCACTTCTTTCCTACATTGGGCATTCATGCCTTCCATCATGGTCCTGAGCTCATCTATTTTTTTTTTTATCTGTTTCTGTTCTAGAGTCTCTAATCATGTCTTTCATTCCTCTCACCATCTCTGTAGATATCTGGGAAATTATTTCTGTTTTGAATTTTTCTAGAGCCTCATTCATCAATTTTGTTACTTTCTGTGTTATCAGTTCAGGGTGTCCAGGTGTTTCATTATCAGACTTTCCCACCTTGTTTCCCCCAGAACTTGCCTTTGGTGAACTGGAAGTCTGGGTTTGCACCTTGCTTAGGTGTCTTCTCATTTTTATTTTTGTTGTTGGTATTGTTTTTGGTTTAATTCCTGGGTTGATACTTCAATACTGCTTATTTTAAGTATCTTTGTTGTTTGTATTTAGAACCCTTATGGAATGATTGCTTCTCAGTGGTGTCTTCCAGACATAGGTGGTCTTTAGGTTTTGAGTCTCTAATGACTCTGAGGCAATCTCATTTTCAGGCAATCTCTTCAGGGCAACTGATTAGATCAATCACAGCACCTTAGCCCAACTGATATAATCAGCAACAACAATAAAATCAAGCACAGCTTAGAAAATGATAATTTGTGGTAGTTATTAATCTATCACCTTTAACTGTGCAAATTAAATCAAAATTGAGAACCAGCCCAAAATAGTTTATAGTAAATAAACTCTTCAATATAGTAACTTTACCCTTTGGGTTGGGGACTTAGAAGGAGTAGGGGAGAGAGGGATAGATAGGTAGAAGGATAGAGAAAGGTTAGAAGTGAGTCCAGAGGACACAGTAAGATCACACAAACTCTAGGAAACTGTTGAAGACAAGAAGAAAAGACAGAATGAAAGAACAAAGACAAGAACAGAACAACCTAACAGCAATGGGGAAGCTAGAAACTGTATTCACTTTCCTTTAAAACTAATGACAACTGAGAGAAGGAAAAAGAGTGGAAAAAAAAAGAAATCCAAATTAGGACAGGAACAGGAAAAGGGAGAGAGATGAAGAACAAGGTGGGAGAGAGAGAGTGAGAGTGAAAGAAAAGAAAAAAAGAAAAAGAAGAAAAAAGAAAATAAAAAATTGAAAAGAAGAAAAAATTAAAATTAAAAATAGAAAAGAATAACTTTGAAAATAAAAAATTAAAATGAAAGGCCTCTTTCAGGGTATGACTGTGCTGTCACAATAAACAACATGGGCAACAGTGTGCAGATCTAAGTCAATTAGTCTCAGCAAGCTGCAGGAGTCCCTTGAGATTCAGGCTACTTTCTGGATGCAAGGCCCAAGTTGAGCTCCCTGAACTCTTGCAGGGTTGAACTCTGCAAGGTTCTACTGCAGGGTCCAGCTGCCCTTTCCCTGAAGATGGTCCAGGTTCTGATGGAAGGTGGTGATCCCTCCAACTTACCAACTACAATGGTCTGGTGTGTCTTTATTGCAGAGATTTTCTTCACTTTTCCAGTGGGCTTCAATTTTCACCAATGAGCCTCAGAGTGGCCCTCTTTCTGTTGTTCACTTCTGCTCTATCTTCTGAAGTTCAGGATCATGGCCTTTATGACTCCCTTTATCTTTGGGGTGTGGATCTAGGTACTGGGGTGGCCAAGAAGCCAGAGGCAGGAGGGGGGGGGGTGCTGCTGGCACCCACAGGGCTCAGCTCCTCGGCTCCTCCTTCACACCCTGGGGGCCAGTACTACAGGCCTTCACTAAGATATTTTAAGAATGGGAAAGACTTCCAGCCAAGCTGCCCCATTGGAAAGCATAAAGGAACAGCCAACAGTTTTTAACAGCTTGCATTCAGCGTGTGCTGACCACATGCCAGACACCTTCCTGAGCACTCTACACAGATTTGTTCAGACAGTTCTTGTTATGATTCCATAAGGTGAATACTATCATTTTCCTACTTTACAGATAAACTGAAGCCCAGGGAGAATGAGTAGCATGATCAATGCTGGACAGCCACAAAATGGTAAAACTGGGACGTTCCCTCAGTCAGCCTAAATGTCATGCCTTTAAATAAAGCCTTCTACCTGCAACAGGCAGTCAGTAGAGGCAGAGGCTCTGCTCCTTCAGAACTATGGGACCAGATTCTCTGCTTCAGTCAAAACTTCATTAGCAGTCAGAATAATGGAGTAGGACTGGACCTTTGGCAGAGGCAAAGAAAGAGTGGGAATTTCATTCCCCAAGCCCTTCCTGCCACATGGACATTATCATTTTTATTAAGCAGCATTTCCTCCTTCCAGATGTAGTCTGGCAAGGGCAGGCTCTACTGTTTCAAGTTTTTCCAAAGCTGAGGGAGAGATTGGTACCCTCAGGGTAGGGAGCCCATGGATAAGAAAAATCAAAAAGGTAGGCTCTAATTTCAAGAAACAGGCTCCACTGAATCTGGGCCTTTATCCCACAGTGTTATAAGATAAACCTAACAGTATCTCTTTTATTTTGTTTTGTGGTACTGAGGAATGATCCCAGGGCTTTCCCTAGCCCCCCTCCTTTTTTGAGACAGTTTTGCCAAATTGCTTAAGCAGGTCTGGAACTTGTGATCCTCCTGCCTTAGCCTCTCAGAGTGCTGAGATTACAGGTGTACACCACCACGCCTGGGTCTAACTGGCCTTTTAAGGGGGTTTTATTGACAAGGAAATGTTAATGGGAAAAAAGGGCCTTGGGCTCCCTTAGCCTTCACAGGTTTTCAGGCTTCCCCCCATGTACCTCCTGCAGCCATGCCAACAAGAGGACTTCAGCATGGCCACATACCACTCAGGGACAGCCAAGAAACATTCTGCTGAAAGCAGAATCAGACTAGTTGACCCAGAAACCCACCGGGAAGGGAACCTTGCTATTTGCCACCAACAGGCAAGTGTATACTTTGAACCAGTGACTAATGTATGTAATTCTCTCCCTTTTGCCATTTCCCAAGTGGCAATTTTCAACCCGTCATGTCTCAGTGTCCTCAGCTGTAAAGTGGGGAACACATTTGTATTTACCACATGGGATCAATGCGAGGATTGGGTGACTTAAATACAAGAAGCCGAAAAGAGTTCCTGGCACAGAGTGAGTCATTAGTGTGGGGTGTTTTTCTGCTGTATTAGCCAACCTCCTTCTCCCCCATCACTATGCTCTGGAATTCATTTATTCACAGGCTGTCAAAACTCAGTGATCAGCTGTGCACTCAGGAGCGATGGACACTCCTAACAACCCTAGACTTGGGAATCAATGAACCATAGATCACCACTGGATGCAGTTGCTTGGGAAGGAGGGAGGTTATGTCTTTGGGTTTTTTTATAAGACAGCAGTAGAATTTTAAGTGGGCTAGTTTTAAAAACTGTATGAGAAGGGTATGTGCATATGTACCTATGTGTTCCAATGCACTGGGCAAAGGCTAGAAGGAAATTAACAACTATGTAACAGTTTCTAGTCACTGGACCCTATTTTGTAGCACTGTCCTCCACACCCCTTTCCCAGCCTCAAAGCCAGAGTCATAACTACATAAAGGACAAGAGTTGTGTGTTTTAGCTTTTCTGGATTGAAGAGGGGGTTTTTTGTTTTTTGAGAACAAGGGCTCACTGGGTAGCCCAGGCTGGCCTGAACTCACAGCAACCTTCTTGCCTCAGCCTCCCAAATGCTGGGATTACAGATGTGTGCCATCATGCTGAGCCCTTGAAGAGTTATTAAAAGTTAAGTGAGAAAAATTTCAAAATAAAAGTATCTGCTGAGCAATGGGATTTGGATTTTCCCTTTTACTCCAAAGTCTAAGGACTCGAGCTCACATTGGGGCTAACTGAAGAAGAGTCCATGGATACACAGGACTCAGAGCAGTCTTGAGCACCTCTCTCCCCTACACCTTGGCTGTTTTCACCCCAGCATAGCTTTTCTCCCCAGTAGGAAGGGGGAAGAGGCACCTCCCTTCCAGGCTCCCAAGTGTTGACCTGGCATCCCTAAGATTCAGGAGTTCTTCCTACCACTCCCCTCTTTCCTCCCCATTCTGGTGTAGCCCTGATACATAGCTGGTATATAGAACCTAATACAACAAAAACAGATTTAGAACTATTTTATTTGAAGAAATTTTCTTCCATAGCTCTAGTTATAGAGTGAATGTTGTTGTAGTGAGTGCTTCATAGGCATCATTACATTTCAGTGAATCATGGCACAATGCTCACATTTTTTAAGCCACACTTGAAATTGAGGCCTTAATAGGACCCTTTTAACAAAGACTCCAACAAAATACAACTATACATTCTACAACCCTCAAATGACTACTACATAGAACATTGTAGGGCCAGCTATAAAGTGCCCCTACTCTGAAGATTTTAAGTGACACAATAATCCAAATCACACATTACTTTTATCAATAATAAACTATGCCAATCAACTGATAAGGCACTAGCCAACCCTACAAAAGCTATTTCAGCACCCTTTTGCTCTTCAAATTGGCCATCTATTATGCATAGTCTGGATCCTGTAGGAATGGATAATGATGGTTATGTCAAATACAGTCATTAGCGTGTGTGTGTGTATGTGTGTGTGTTTCAGAGGATGTTCCTAAGTTAACACAGGAAAGGGAAAAACACTCTTTTGTGAATAAAACATACAGATGGAAAACTACCATTTGGTAATTATCAAAAAAGCAAAATCAACTCATTTTAGTGGGGACTGGCGTCTGAGTGAACAATTCTTACTAATACTTTTCATGAAAGTGTTTACACTTGATCTTAGCCAAAAGGCCGAGAAGCGATCATGAAAGTGTTTAAAAGCATAGGTTTAAACACACATGCACTCAGTTTGCCTCAGTCCAAATTCTTACTTCCTGCTGTCACTCCTTTCACAAGATCAGGATGCTGACCCCTCAGCAGTAAAGCCTGCAGTGCTCAGTGAATATGTGTAAATAAAGCAGATCACATAATTTTAGTGTTTCACAAAAATGAAGTATGGAGATCAAAAATGTAATTTAAAAAAGTACACAGTAAAAAAACTAAAACATATGGTATATTCAAATTTAAAGAAAAACTGTTTTGTGATTACTATGAAATCATGGAGCAAAGGACAGGTTCAGTGAAACCTGAGGGGCTGCCAGACCAGAGTTCAATGTGCCTGATGAGAATGGGCAACTCTGGAAAGGAAGCCTGCTTGAGACAATTCAAGTGGACATTGCTTCAAGGCTGTAAACTCAAGGTCGGAAGCTGCACCTTATTTATGCCTGTGTTCCCAGTTCTTAACACTGTCCTCTACTGACAGACATTCCAAATACGTATTTCTCATAGCCAGGAAATTGGGCTGAATCAGCTCACTACTTTTAAAGCCATTTTGAGAGAGATCTACTCACTTAATTCCTTCACCCTTACATCTAAGATATGGATGGAAAATAGGCTTCATTCCGCTCTGAGAGACTAGTAAAGGGTGTCTGGAAGCATTGATTTGACATAGATTCTGAGATCCAACCCTGGCACAAAGTGCAAGCACTTCATAATGCACTTAAATCCTATATTCCTGTCCCTGGTCTAGGAAGAAGGCATCTGACACTCACCCATCTTCCCTTGATCACTGCTTCTTAAGTGAACTGTATCATCAAGCACTGCTCATTAAGTGCTGGTTGATAAAAAAGACCAAGGCCCTGCCTGGCAAGCACAAGGTCCTGAGTTTGATACCCGGTACCAAAATAAATAAATAAATAAATAAAAGGACCAAGGCCTTTCTTCTCCAGTTACCTCTAAGGTAGGGTCCTACCTTCTCTGGAAATCTGAAAACAATGCATACTCTGTGCTCCATAAACAACTTCACTGAAAGAAAACATTTACTTCATTCTCTGTAGAGAATGCTTTAGAGAAAAAGCACTATACTATATACTTCAGTATAGCTTTGATAGCTAAGGCACTTGGAATTACTTGGAACCTTGGTTTTTTTAAAATGTCAGTTTAATTTTCTTTGGTTTTCATGCTTTATTTTAATCCTTTTGTTTGCCTCATACTAGTATCCATCACCTTCTAAATACTTTATTATAACTTAACCAACATTGTTGAAGTAATCCGCTCTTACACATTCATAATAAAACCTTTTAAAGGATGCTAAGGGGAGAGGCCTCTAAGGGTGCTGAGAGGAAAGGCAGAAAGAGTGACAGACAAACGAAACCATCATCTCCTTGTCCAACCACTTGGGACTCACTCTCCATCACCCAGACTGTCCTCTGTAGGGCAAGCTGCTCCCAGCCAGGAAGCCCCACCAGGGATCATCCCAGCCATCTCCCAGCAACAGTGGGAAGTCGGTGCCCTTCAGAACCATCTCAAAAAGAAAAACTGTGGAAAAGCAATGAATGGGGAAAAAAGAAGTATTCTCAAAGAATAAAGGATAGTCCTAGAGGATGAGGGCAGATTTTCAAAGAAACAATGCCTTCATTCTAAGTACTCCTTAACAAAACAGTGGCACCAATAAGCACAGAGCTGTTAAAACTCCCCTCAAGGTGTTAACACAGCTGATGTGCACACTGGAAAAGTGATGTCATAAAATCCACAGATCTGCTATTACACATTCTACCTTCCCAAGCACTGCTGGCAGCCAAGAATAACAAAGTCTTAGTTGGTAGGAGTCCATCTCTTAAAGAGGCGACAGTATACAAGCAAACATAACATTCACGTGCACATATACATACACATAAAACCTGGTGTGTTAGAGAGCTCTGTGGATGAGTATACTTCACTTGGTCTAAGAGTTTAATCATCAGTATTATTTGAGCCTGTTGGCTCAAATAATGTAATCAGAAAGAGAACTAATTGGTTGCCAGCATACTTTATATGATCTGGTTATTTATAAACTAATCTCCAATTGTTTGTCCAGTACTAATTCAGTTGGCTACAGTATTCTGAATATATCAGTTTAAGCCTTGAAAAAATCAAGCTCTATAAAAACAAAAACAAATTCAAATTTTTTCTTTCAGTATCAGGATGGAACTCAGGACCTTGTGCTTGCGAGGCAGGAACACTGTCAATGAGCCAAATCCCTAGCCTTGACAAATTCAATTTTTAAATGTGTATAATAAAACTACAGCGCACTGGAAATCCAATTCTACAATGAATATTAAAAAATCTATTATTTACCATTCCCAGGAATATTTCAACTCAAATTTTTTTCTTAAAAGAAAAATGCTCAGCTGGGGATTTAGCTCAGTGGCACCATGCCTGCCTCACCAGCACAAGGTCCTGAGTTCAATCCCCGGTACCAAAAGAAGGAAAAATGCTTAGAATTTGAGAATGAATGGGTATGATTTAGAAGCCCTTAAATGGAGATAGATGTGGTGCTGCATACCTGTAATCCCAGCACTCAAGAGGCTGAAACAGGAGGATTAAGAGTGTGAGGCCAGACTGAATTACAATAGTCCTTAAGAGAGAGACAGAAAGACACAGAGACAAAAAGAGATTGACTTTAAAACACCATTATAAATAGACTGATAGAATTATTTTGGTAATGCCAGGCATGGTGGCACACGTCTATAATCCAAGCACTTGAGGCAGAAGGGTTACTATGAGTTCAAGGCCAGCCTGGACTACACAGCAAGACGCTGTCTCCAAAACAAAACAAAAAGCATTTCCACACACACAAGAATTATTTGGTAACAAGATACAAAGACCCCTCTCCATGTCCAAAATATAGGCTTACTCACATTAACCTAATAGAAGTGCTCCTGAAAAGTCATGCAAAAATGTTTTTATAATTAGTTTCTTCTTTTAAATATACTAGAGGCCATGGTTGTTAAAAAAAAAAAAAATCCTGTAGTGACTTCGTAAATGAAAAACTCTGTTTTTAGCTCCTATGCATCACATCTGCATACTACACAGCATAACTGTGGAATATGTGAATTTACTATGACCATTTTTTTCTACAGAGCTTTCTTAAAGCAAGGCATGCTTTAACTAAAATTACAGCCTGCTCTAATACAGTTCTGGCTGCTATTTGTGCAGAGCAATGGCCTTTGGCTAGCAAGTCAATAGATTCTCTATTACAAATTACCAGATAATCTCAGAAAGTATTTAAGCAAAATAAAATTTTTCTAATTTGTTTTGTTTTTTGGTCCTGGGGATTGAACCCAGGCCCTCCTGTATGCATGTGTTCTACCACAGAGCTACACCCCAGCCTAGGTGCATGTTTCTGAAAAACACCATTCTATGATTGGCAGATGTTTTACCCACTGTTAACTGGCTTAGTGGAATTCCTGGAGCTATTTCACTAATAGCGCTGTGTGAACTACATTCCCACCCAAGGCAACTCAGCACTTTACCTAACTTTAGGAAGACCAACAGAGAAAAGTCCACTTCTAGAAGAACTTCTTCTCCTCTCTTTCCAGCACAAATGCTTTAAAGCCATCCTCATCTTAGTCCACAAAAGCAAAACATGAATTACAAAGCTAAGATTAAATTAGAAAGCATACCAATTTAAATATGATAAAGTTTTGTTTCAATCTTTAAACAAAAGTCAAATACATTCAATAAAGGAACTCTTAAAGGCAAATTATTTTTCTTATATGGTATATCCTTTCCTTTTCAAGTTTAAAAAAACATGTACCTATCCATCCTTTTACACCTTTAAAATATACAATGTCTGGGAATGCAATGTTTTGTGAACCATATAATTTCCAATTTGCCACATATGAAGTAAGAGGTTTTATCAGTCTGTTTATTCAGCATCCATAATTGGAAAAATAGCTGGGAATAATTTTATGCTAGTTGTGGTGGGAATGAATGCATTCAGGGATCCATTCTAACATTTCATTATTGTAGGTTTCCTGCAAAGTAGTGCATGAATAAATATTTGAACACAGAACCCTTCTATAAACATGTTGGAAATATCTGTGGATAGGACGAGGGGAGAGAGAATGGCAACATTAGTATTAATATGTTTGTCATTAACATTAATATGTTTGTCAAGTAAACAATAAACAGAAAAGAGAACCTCTCACTTAAAATATTAATCCTGGGCCAGGGATTTAGCTCAGTGGTTTCGCTGCCTGCTGCACAAGTGCAAGGACCCGAGTTCAATCCCTGGTACCAAAAAAACAAACCAAAATATTAATCCTATTTCAAGTAACCTAAATCTAAATTAATCTAGATCTAAATTAAGTTAGGTTTAAAAACCATTTTTGCCATTCACATCAATTAGTCCTTTACTAAGCTAGTTTTTAATGATTCATTTCAGTTACTGGACCTAGTATCGTGTTTTGATGAAAACATACCAAGGATTTGCTCCTGTAATTTAAAAATCAGTAATTTAAAACATAATACACTTCTAGTCTCTTTTTTTCACAACTTTTCAAGTAATTAGTTTGAGTAAGCTTATTACAGCTGCCACTGGTATATATGTGACTACTTTAACATACATTTTCCCTTTAAAATTCAGTCTCCCTTGTGTATGTGTGTGATGTGTATGTGTGTGTACATCTTGAACCAGGTTTTCTGAAAAAAACTAGATCAATATAGTCATGTTTCTGTTTTATTAGGCAGATAAAGAGAAGAAACCAGCAAGTTATGTCCAAAGGCTGGGAAACGCCGAAATGCTTCCCAGCTGTCTGAAAAAATATTGTACTTAAGGAAAACACGATGCTCCAAGCTGGTCGAGAGAGTGACATCTCTGCTCATGATGTAGATGCCATCATTATGGAGTGCGCAGGTCAGGTTGAGACCTGACTTGGATGTGTTCTCCTTGAGGTAGAGCCACTGCCGCGTGACCGTGTTGTAGGACTGCACGGTGAGCATGTCCTCACTCTGGCTGCTTCTTCGGTTGGACCCAAGTTCGTGCAGACACCCACCCACAATGTAGATGGTCTCTTCCACAGACACCATCTGCTGCTTCCGAATATGGACATCACAGGTTTCAAACAGCATCCAGATGTCAGACGTGGGGCAGTACTGCAAAATGTTCATGTTACGGTCTGAAATAGAAAAAAGCCAAATGGTGATTCAGCCACCAGGAGCACCATGGCCTACACAGGCTATGTATAAGCATTTCATCACAGAAAGTAAAACTGTTTTATCAAAATGGATAGGGCTGGGGATTTAGCTCAGTGGATCCACTGTCTGCCTCACAAGTGGAAGGTTCCGAGTTTGATCGCCGGTACCAAAAAAAAAAAAAAACAACAACAAAAAAAATGGATAAAGGAGAAACAGTTTTCCAAATGACTAGGGAAAGATGCATTTGGGTTCAGAACTGCCTGCCCCCTTTCAGGCATGTCCCTCCTTGCACAGTCGCAGAGTCAAACCCAGAGGAATGCGCAGCTGTGAGGGGAACACAGTTTCTCCACCTGCTACTCTCACCCTTTGAGCTACCTGATCAGAGTCAAAAGAATCAGAGCCCAGAGCCTCATCAACAGCTACAGAATGACTGACTGGGTAATACAAGAGGCAGGATGGGTCAAGATGGTAGCTCAGAGGCACTGCACCTGCCTGGCAAACACAAGGTCCTGTTCGATCCCTGGTACAGAGTGGGGTGTGGTTTGGGCTGAGCTCCCCAGGTCTAGTCTTTTAAAATTTTTCCTCCCAGTACTGGGAATTGAATTCAAGACTTTCACACTGAACTACATCCCGGGCCATTTTTATTTTTTGTTTTGAGACAGGGTCTTGTTAAGTTGCTCGATCTGAGCTGAAACTTGCAGTCCTCCTGCCTCAGCCTCCCAAAGTGCTGGGACTACAAGTATGCACCATCACACCCAGTTTAGGGGTCTATTCTTTACATCTGATTTTAAGAAACATGACAAATAGCAAGGTAATGTATCCAGGTACCACCCAGAGAAAAAGACACAAAATCGTAAGTAGGGGAAATTTAAGTCTCACCTCCTGCCTTTTAATAAGGCATAGACTCATTTGGCAAGCCTGATTTCCAATTTTAACACCAGAGACACACTAGCAAAGACTTTTCACAGGACACTAGTAAAGGAAGAAAGGAAGGAAGGAAGGCAGGTAGGAAGGAACAAGGAAGGTCAGATGGACTGCATGAAAGGCTGCTTTGATATTTTTAATAAATGCCATTATTAATTTTCTTAATTATTTTTAATTAATACCTAAGCTATCTTCTTTTTTTGTTTTGTTTTGTTTTTTGTACTGGGGATCAAACTCGGGACCTTGCACTTTCAAGGCAGGTGCGGTGCCACTGAGCTAAATCCCCGGCCCACCTAAGCCAACTTTAGGGAAAATCACTGCATCCTTTCTTTTCTTTTTTGGTACCGGAGATGGAACTACGGACCTTACACTTGAGAGGCAGGCAGAGGAACCACTGAGCTAAATCCTCGGCCCTATATCCTTTCTTTTTGAAAAATACTTGTGAAATTTAAACTAGGGTTTTTTGTGTGTGTTTTTCTTTTCTACAGGAAAAAATAAATGGAGTAGCCTCCACAAAGAAAAAAAGTGTTCTCAGTTACCAATACCTTTGCAGTATAATTTCAGGTCAGGGATTGTGATGCCCCCACCTTGTCTTTGTTGCCTAGAACTGCCTTTGCTATTCTAGATATTTGCTGGTTCCAAATGAATTTAGGATTGTTTTCTCTAATTCTGAAAGATATACTGTTGGAATTTTGATTGGAATTGCACTAAATCTGTATAACAGTTTTGGAAGTATGGCCATTTTCACTATATTGGTTCTTCCTACCCAAGAACAAGAGATATCTTTCCATTTTCTGATATCCTCTTCCATCTCTTTTATCAGAGTACTATAGTTTTCAATGTAGAGGTCTTGAGAGCTGGGGATGTAGCTCAGTGGCACCGCGCCTGCCTGGCAAGCGCAAGGTCCTGAGTTCAATCCCTAGTACTAGAAAAACAAAAAACAAAAAAACAATGTAGAGGTCTTTTACTTCTTTTGTTAGATTGATTCGTAACTATTTCACTTTTCGGACACTATGTAAAAGGTGTTATTTCCCTAATTTCTCTGTTCGTGACTTATTATTCATGTACAGGAAGGACTGATTTTTGAGTACTGACTTTGTATCAAGCTATGCTACAGAATTTGGTTATTAAGTCTAGAAGTCTTTTGGTGGAGTTGAGTCTTCTATGTAGAGTATGATGTCATCTACAAATAATGATAATGTAAGTTCTTGCTTTCCTATCTTTATTCTTTCTCTTTCTCTTGTCTAATTGCTGTGGTTTATGTTTCCAGAACTATATTGAACAAGAGTAGTGATTTTGGACATCCCTGTCTGATTCCTGATTTTAGAGTGAAAGCTTTTAGTTTTCAGTATGATGTTGGTACTGATCTGTTGTAGATGGCTTTTATCATAATGAGATAAAGACCAATTTTATCACGAGATAAAATTCCAATTTTCTGTAGGATTTTTACCATGAATGGACATTGGACTTCATCAAATGCTTTTTCTGTGTCTACTGAGATTATACGGTTTTGTCCTTGGCTCTGCTAATACAGTGTATTATATTTATTGATTTGCATATGTTGAACCATCCCTGCATCCCTGGGATGATTCCTACTTGGTCAGGGTGTATGATCTTCTTGATGATTTGTTGCATTCTGTTTGTCAGTATCTTACTCAGTATCTTACTGAGGATTTCTGCATCTTTGTTCATTAGAGAGATTGATCTATCTAACTCTCTTTTTTGGTTGGATCCTTCTCTGGTTTTAGAATCAAGATAATACTTGCTTCCAGGTATGAATTTGAGAGGATTTCTTCTCTTTCTATTTCATTAAAGAGTTTGAGAAGTACTGGCATTAGGTCTTCTCTAAATTTCTTGTAGAATTCAGCATGAATACGTGACAGCCTGGGCTTTTCTTTGTTGGTAGGTTTTTTATTACATCTTAATTTCATTGACCGATATTGGTTTATTTAGAATTTTTGTATTTTCTTATTCAGTTTTGGTAATTCATATGCATCTAGGAATCTGTCAATTTCTTCAGTGTTTTCCATCTTATTAGAATACAGGTTCTTGAAGTGGGTACTGATGATCTTTTGGATTTCTACAGGATCTGTTGTGATTTCACTCTTTTCATTTCTACTTGCATCAATCTGAGTCTTTTCTTTCCTTTTTTTTCGGTACCAGGGATCAAACTCGGGTCCTTTAATTTCCATTTGCTTGTGAAGTTCTTGTGGTTTGCCATTGATTTCCACTTTCACTGCACTATGAAAAGATAATATGCATGGAATAATTTCAATTCCTTTGCATTTACTTAAGCATGTTCTATGAGCTAGTATGTGGTCTATTTTGCAGAATGTCCAGTGTGCAGCTAAGAATGTGTATTCTGATGTTGTGGGGTGGAACACTCTGTAGACATCTAGTAAGTCCATTTGCTCTTTTTCTGGGTTCCTGATACACAACATATTGTTTTCTTTCTTTTTTCGGGGGGGGGGTACTGGGGATCGAACTCGGGTCCTTGCACTTGAACAGCAGGTGGCGAAACCACTAAGCTAAATCCCCAGCCCCACAACGTATTGTTTTCCATCCTCTGACTTTCCGTCTATGAATTTCTTTTCGAATTAAATGTGTTTCTTATATGCAGCATATTGTTGACTCTGCCAGTCCATTTCTTTTGATTGGTGAATTGAGACCATTAATATGTGATAAAAACAGCATGGTACTGGCAAAAAGAAAACAAACTAAAGGATCAATGGAACAGATTAGAAGATACAGAAACAATTCCAAGCACACTCAGCCACCTTATCTTTGACAAAGGGGCTAAAATCCTTTACTGGAAGAAAGATAGTTTCCTTAGTAAATGGTGCTAGAAAAACTGGGTTTCCACTTGCCAAAGATTATAACTAGACCCATATCTTTCACCATGCACTAAACTAAAAAATGGATCAAAGATCTAAATATTAAAACAGAAACACTAAATCTGCTAGAAGATAGATTAGGTAGAACTCTTGAAGACATTGGTATAGGCAAAGACTTTATGAACAAAGCCCCAACTGCACAAGAAATATCACAAAGAATCAACAGCTGGGATCTCACCTTACTAAAAAGCTTTTTCACAGCAAGAGAAACTATCAAGAGAGTGAAGAGACAACCCATAGCTTGGGAAAAATTTTTGCCAGCTGTTCCTCAGACAAAGGCCTAATATCTACAATTTATAAAGCACTTTAAAAAATCAGATTCCCCCCAAATTTAAAGACCCAATCCAAAAATGTGAAATGAATAGACATTTCTCAGATGCAGAGTACAAACACCAAATAAATATATTAAAAAATATTCAATATCACTGATCATTCAAGAGCTGCAAATTAAAAGGAGATTCCATCTCACTACAGAATGAATAGCTGTAATCAAGAAATCTACCAATAACAAATGCTGGCAGGGCTGTGGGGAAAAAGGAACCTTTCTCCACTGCTGGTGGGAGTGCAGACTGGTGCAACCACTATGGAAATCAGTGTGGAGATTCCTCAAAGAACTAAAACTGGAGGTTCCATTTGACCCAGCTATTCCCCTTCTTGATAACTTCCAGAGAGAATTATAAGCATCATACCACAGTGATATATGCACATCCATGTTTACAGTGGCACAGATTTAAATAGCTAAATCTTGGAAATAGCCCAAATGCCCATCAACCAATGAATGGATAAAGAAGACGTATTTTTTCATACAATGGAATACTACTTTAAAGAAAGATAAACTTGAGACATTCTAGGTAAATGGATTCACCTTGCAATTATACTCTGAAGTGAAATAAATTGGACTGGACACACATGTGTAAATGTCACGTTGTTTCTCTGGTGTGAGAAACTGAAAGTGTAAATGAGGACCAAAATGTATAATAGATATTGAGAAATAGGAATGTTCAAATGGGTAGGGGAACTAGGGAGCAGCCAAGGGATAGAAAGGAAGGGAAAGGAAAAAAATGAGAAAAGAAGGTAAAGGTGGAAACAAAGCTTTTTCAAATAAGAAGGGAGACAGGAGTTGAAGGGAGGGTAGGGAAATGAGACAAAAATAAGAATCAAGA